AAATGAATTTTTATTTGTAGTTCAAACTATAACAATGATCCAATGAATATTAATCATACTGATATTCTATCAACAAAAGAAGAAATTGGATCTTATACCGACCAACATAGATTTAGTAATGATTGTCTAAGAAATGGTATGTTATATTAACCTTGTACACACTTTTTTTTGTTCCTTAACATAAAAAAAAGAAAAGAAAAACTAAGATCTATTGCGTCGTTTTACTTATTATCACGCAACTATCTCAATGACATTAAGTGTTTTTGAAATGAATATGTCCTTCAGGAAAAGAAAATATAAAGTATTCGTGATCATTGCCATCAATAGGTTTTTATTTCGTCTTTTAAAATCAGTTGTTGTTCTTTACTTTTATTTATAAGTGTCTTTGTATAATGTATGCAAATCGAAATAGTATATTTTATTTTTTAACTTATAATGAATATTATATGAATCAATATTTTACATATTCAATATCATATCGTCTATATAATTCCACAAGATTCAATATTTGTAGGTGTAAAACTAAATTTTATCTCTTTTTTTCTTTGGCTAAAAGAAGACGAAGAAAAAAAAGAAGAGAATAACTTTTCTTTTTTTTTTTTCTTCTCTTTTATGTCGATGTTAAAGAAGGAGAAGAATGCATTTTTATTAAGGCGTCAGATTGGACTATCGATTTTTATTCTCTATTCTTCCCTACTTTAAACTCAGCATGACTAAGATTTTTTCTTTGCTTCTAATATATAGATTGACATTATTTTACTTTTTCTCAACATGTTTTTCTTTTTATAGCAAGTGATACTTCTTTGGAAGATACTCAAGCATCCTATACTGAACGTTTACGTGAAAAATCTCGTTCAATACCAATGAATGGAAATAATGATTTCAATCCTTATCTAAAACGATCAGTATCAAAAGATACATTAAATGATTGTCAAATACGTTCAAATACACATATAAATATACCAGAAATTTCATTAACAAATGGTCAACAAACAAGAACTACTGCAACACATATTGTATCAAGAACACAAGCAGTACCACCTTTAGAAAATGATTTTCAATCAAAACGTGAATTTTTTGAAAATCGTATCTATACAGATAATTCATCATTATCAAATATATCTTTATCATCTATTCAAACAAATATATTACCAAAAAAACCTAAATTATATACTTTATCACTTTCAAATCATTCACAACTTAATAATAATCTTTCACAACAGACAATAATAAATAATAATCCTCAACGTAATGTAACAAGGTAGACATTTTTTTTCTTCTCTTTTACTTCTTCATTGGAAGAAGAGGAAAAAAAAGGACAAGGATAGAGTCTTATGTATTATCGACATTTTCATTATTTGCAAATAGATTAGTTAAAATAGTAAAAGCTATATATAAATAGATGTTGATGATGATAATGGCAGGTGGAAAAAAAAGAGAAACTGTGCGCTCAGACATTAATCGGTAAATAGGAAGAAAATGATTTCCTTGATAGAAACAAAACATATATCATACAGTTTGACATATCTTACTAATCTTTTCTTTATATGTCAGCTGTTTACTTATATCAATGAGTTAGAAGTATTAGTCTTGATAATAAAAATAACCTTATTAATTTTATATAGATTTAAAATCTTAAAAAAACTCTATATTTTATTTTTAAAGACGCTCGTGGAATGATTTATCATCCAGACAACTACCACCTCCACCAACACCGCCGCCGCCGCCGCCGCCGCCGCCACCTCCTCCTCCTCCTTCTTCTGAACCATATTTTGAATCTTCATTCAATCAACCATCGTTTCCTCCGCCGCCAACGATTCGAAAACCAGTACGAATTGTTAAGGCAATTCAACGATCTCCACCTCCAGCAAATGAACCGGTTTTAACAAATCGTCCATTATCAACATCAAAAACATATTCACTTGCTAAACCCGGTCTGTTTTCTGCTTCACCAATAACTTCTTCTCAAAAACTTCCGAATAAATCTTTCAATACAATTCGACGTTTTCAATCACGCGATGAAAATGATTTACAATTGAATATAAAAGAATTCCTTTCACGTTATTCTAATAATCATTCATTGAATGATTTAGCACGTTTAACAATTTCCAATGATTATCATCTTAGTACTGATTATACTCGCGCTTTATTTCCAATACCTGATCGTCTAAGACGTATACGTTCACGACAAAGTTCAGGTGGTGATACAAGTTCAGTCACAACTTCAAGCAATTCATCATCAGATTATATTCATCGAACAGTATCGAATGATAGTTGTATATGTGATAATGATGATACTCTTCGTCAAGCGGTAAGAAAAAAACGATTATATATTATTTTAATTATTTTATTTTATATTTTAGGAAGATTTATTGATAAACTTAAATAAACGTTTAGAAAATTTAAAAGATAATCAACGAATAATTCATGAAGAAATGGAAGATAATAAAATTCTTGGTGCTAAGGTATTAAATGAAAAAAATTTGTTTTTATTTTTAATAATTCTTTCTTTTTTTAGTTAATAAACATAATTGAAACTAATGCTGAATCGAACGAAATTGAAAAATTTAAATTACATATTAATGAGATTGATACAATAACATCAATACTTCTTAAACTTAGTAGTCGATTAGCTAAAGTTGAAAATGATTTATTAATGATTTCTGATCACAATGATCACACAAAGGTAAATTTTCATAGATCTCTATTTAATTTATATTTCCATTTATTTTAGGCAAGTTTAATTGACCGACGTGAAAAAGCTCAACAAAAACATGATGAAGCTAAAGCATTGAAAGATGGTATTGATCGTCGTAGTCGTTTAGTAACGAATATTCTTCGAAAATATTTTTCCAATGAACAATATGATGATTATGAACATTTCGTTCGAATGAAATCAACATTACTAATGGATGAAAAGGATATTGAAGAAAATCTCTTAACTATTGAAAAACAAATTGAAATATTAAATCATATATTAACAAGAGATTATCAAACTTTATCAAATCCTGCTGAAAATTTACAAACAAATTCTTTGAAATTTATAACGAGCACGGCCTAGTCGTTTTCTTTTTTCTTTTTTCTTTTATTAATAAACATTTATTTTTTCAAATCGAATTATTCTGTTCATTTGTCTTTATATAATATTAAAACAGACACACATATATATATACATACAATAGATGATTTGTTTTCTTTTCATTTTTGTCCTACAGGAAACGGCCTAGTTAAAGATCAAATAATATGTACTTGAGTCCTAACAAGGATGAATATATTTTGCAATTGACGTCATATTTATAATGAGTGGTAAAAAAACATCACATGATAATCAATGAAAGATAATAATGAGAGAAAGAACAGATTAATTATATGATGGTTTATTGAAATAGCTTTCTATATGAGACATTTAAAAATAAGTCGAAGTTATTTATGGAATTGAGTTTTATGTCCTCAAGCATACGAAGAGATGTAAATGTGTTAGATTGGTATGCAACCGGATGAGTCATGTAATATATTTATGTTGCTTAACAATTAAGAACATTTCAATGTTAAAGAATGCATTAGAAACGGATGTCATACAAAAAGAAATTGTATTTCTTAGTTATAATGATTGGAAAAAATCATGATTACATAATGTTCTATTCTAATTGTTAATAAATAAAAAGTAAACTGTTAAGCAATGAAAATTATGAAGTGTTTACAATTCTTCTATATCCTGGATCTTTTATGATGTCTTAGTCTGTGACATCATTTTAATGATTCATATATCGTATTTCATTAAAGAGATTTTCAAGTCTTAACCTTCAAAAAAACGTGATGTGTAAATTGCTCAATTGAAAGTGTCATTTTTTTTTGAACAAGCTAAGTAATTAGAGATATTTATTAAGAAGTCTCGTATATAATCTCTTTATTCATCGTTATTATGTCTCGAGTTGAAAGCTGAATATAGAAGCAAAATAATACCAGTAAAAATAGATAAACGTCTAATAGATTACATTTAAAAAAAATAATGATGGGTTTATTATTAAAAATAGTACCTTGTAGATTTGCTCAGATATTTATGTTAATAAAAGCGATAACAAATAGTTCTTTATATGTTAACTAATTCCTTTAATGTTTTACATCATTGAAATTATTTTTATACAAAATATCTAATTCAATTATATAATCGATGAATAACTAGAATAGATCTCGATTATCATTTACTTACATCACACCTACAAAGTTCAAATAATCAGATTTATTACAGAAACAATGCATGTCAATCAAACAGTTCATGACTGACATATATTGATAATGGAGATTGCATTTGATAATGGTCGAATGAATTAATAATGATAAACTTCTACTAAATTAAATAGATCTTTTACTTTTGTTTCAATCATTTTGATAACAAAAAAAATGTATGAACTTATATAATTCAATTAATGATTAAAATAGTTCGAATTCTTATCTCATCTTTTACAAAATTTCGATTGATGAATTTTAATAAGTTTATTTTTCTATAATTATTTCGAACAAAAGAAACTAATATTTGTTTAGATTTTCCTGCTTAATTATAGTAACTTTTTTATAATTTGTTGAAAAAACTAATTCATCTGGAATAATGCAGTTTGAAGTGAATCTATTCATGTAATGGATAGAGACGTGTTATTCAAAGATGAAAGTTATTCTAGTTGACCGATTAAATTCCTTGCGGGGTACTACTAGTTCAAAAATATTATTCCGAATGATCAAATTAAAGTTGAATTTTAAAAATCTATTATGATAGTTGTATGTCTTATGACAAACTTTGTTGATAATAAATATATTATTTGAGATATTCAGTTCATTCATCATTTGTCTAAATATTCCAGCAAATGATTAATATAATTAGGTATTATCATTACGTCATAGCATTACTAATGTCTTCTTAAACAATCGTACAATGTTTTAGATAAAAAATATTCAATTTCATTCATACGACTCATTTTACAATATAACCGAATATTTTTCCATAGAAAATTATTTTAATAAATAAACATTTGAAAAATTATCAATAGAATATATATTTACTAGACGATACTATCAATTATCTATTCTGTCACGATAATAATTGTTATAACAACAGTAAATAAATTACACTAGATTAGTTTTCGTATTTATTCTAATTTTTCTGATATAAATCTCAAAGGATTATTGATAAATTCTATCTCTTTTTCTTTATTTATTTGATTTTCTTTTGTTTATTAACTATGAAGAAGAAGAAAAAAAAAACAATATAAAGTATTAAATATCATGTAAATGTCATAATTCATTTAAACAATCTATTTGTATGGTATTATATATCATCTATTCAAAGATCAGGTATAGCACTTAGTCAAACCCTTTTACTAATTATGTTCTAATTGTCTATACAAGATGTTGAAATAAGATATAGGTTGATAGATAACATATAAAAACATTCATTTTTCTTGAACAGCTAAATCATCACAATTTTCCTATTGAATATGAATACACATATTTGTATATATACCATCTTATCATTGTAATCAATAATCATCTCAAGAAAAGACGTAAGCCATTAGTTGAATTGTTTATTTCGAATAAACTAATCGATTATACTTATTCATTCACATTTCTTTTAATGAACATTTTAACAGTGAATAACAAATTAAGACGACGACGACGACGACGAAGCCTTTTCAAATGCAATATTATTGAACACTTGAGAATTTTCAAATCAATATGCACGTGTATTTTTATTTCAATCCGTTAGAATAACATTATTATTTACTTTGATCTTATTTTAAGTCGTATTTAAAGAAAAAAAATTTCTTCTTTCTTTTTCATTTTATAACAGAATTACTTTCGTAAATACTAAAAATAGATTTTTGACAAGTTTTTATTATATAAAATTAGTAATTGTGTCAATTTTCTGATTAATTTTTCGACATATGGAAACTTCTTCGTGCTAATTAGAACTTTTCTAAACATACATACATACATACATACGATCTAATTAAACGTCTAGAAAATAAATCAGCATATCATATCAGATAATCAACAGAACGGGATATTAGCAAATAAGAAATAAATATGAACAGATGAAATAACATTCGAAACTGTCCTTTTATTTATTTAACTTTTGCTCGAAAATATTTTAATTGATATAAATCGGATACTATTTCTACGATTCAATGAACATCTGTATATGAAATAGTTAGGTTAATAAGCTTGAGTTCAAAAAAACGTTGTCCTTTTCTTTTTTATCATTACTAATATGCTCATTATTCATGAGAAAAAAAAACGTAGTTTGTCTTCGAGGTTTGTTATACATCAATCTTCAAGAAATAGTAGAACGACTACAAATGCAACTGTAATATATGACAATGATGATGATTGACGATCATAAATGTCAACTATCATTAGATAAAAAGGTTTTATTTACAATGAATATGATGAGTTAGACATTCATTTTTTTTTTCTTCAAGCAAATTGAGAGCATTTTTCTTTCTATATGACAAATCATAAGAACTTTAGTGTACGTGGAAGAAAAAAAGAAAAGTTAATTGCCCATGGGGTCGATTTCGTGAAAACACTGTCAATTTATAGTATGTCAAATGACAAAGACAAGACAAAAAATTAGGAATTCTCTTGAGTCTATCTTTAATCAGTATTCATTTCTTTTTTTT